GCCTCCCAAGTAGCTGGGACCACAGGCGCCCGCCACAACGCCTGGCTATTTTTTTTTTCCGTTGCAGCCATCCTTGTGGTTTGGCGGGCCCAGGCTGGATTCAAACCCGCCACCTTAGGTGTATGTGGCTGGCAGCCTTAGCCACTTGAGCCACAGGCACCGAGCCAGGAGGATTTCTTGAGTGCAGGAGTTTGAGGTTGCAGTGAGCTATGATGATGCCACTGCACGCTAGCCCAGGGTGACAGAGCAAAACTTGGTCTCCAAAAAAAAAAATCCTTAATATTTTTTGACAAAGGCAGTAGATACCCTACTGATGTTGAATACTGTTTTTTTTTTTTTTACAATCATTGTTATTTTTAAATCTTTTTTATCGAGGAATATTGTACCTATTTTGAATAATGCTATTATAAATATTCTTGAATGTGTCTCCTGTTGTATGCATGCACATATTCCACCTGGGGGTATCTCCATGAGTGGAATCACTGTGTCATATTATATTCTTGTCTTCAACAGTACCAGACAGAGCCAAAATAGTCTGCAACATGATTGTACCAATTTTGCGGGGGGGAACAGAGTCTCATTATGTAGCCCTCTGTAGAGTGCTGTGGTGTCCCAGGTCACGGCAACCTCAAACTCTTGGGCTCAAGAGATTCTCTTGCCTCACTCTCCTGAGTAGCTGGGACTACAGGCATCCGCCACAATGCCCAGCTATTTTTTGTTGCAGTTGTCATTGTTAGTTAGCTGGCCCAGGCTGGGTTCGAACCCACCAACTTCGGTGTATGTGGCTAGTGCCGTAAGCACTGTGCTATGAGCACCGAGCCCAATGTTGTACCAATTTCTACCCCCATCAGCAATGTCAGAATTCTCACTAATTGCATGATAGTCTCCTCAACACTTGGTATCTGTCTTTTTCATTTAGGAGTATCTTTTTTTTGAGACAGAGCCTCAAGCTGTTGCCATGTGTGGAGTGCTGTGGCATCACAGCTCACAGTAACCTCCAATTCCTGGGCTCAAGTGAGTCTCCTGCCTCTGCCTCCCAAGTAGCTGGAACTACACGTACCAGCCACAACGCCCGGCTATTTTTTGGTTGCAGCCATCATTGTTGTTTGGCAGGCTCGGGCTGGATTTGAACTGGCCAGCTCAGGTGTATGTGGCTGGCACCTTAGCTGCTTGAGCCGCAGGTGCCGCCGAGGAGTATCTTTTTCATTTAATACAGTCTTGGGTTGTGGAGTTGTATAGTGGAATCTCATTGTAGTTTTTATTCTTTTTGCATTCTCTGGTTACTAAGAAGGTTGAACACTTTTCATATATTTATTTAAGCCTTGAATTCCCTTTTTTGTAAAATCAGTCCTTTGCCCATTTTCTACTAGGTGGTCTCTTTTTTCTTACTGGTTTGTTGGAGTTCTTTACATCTGCTGGCTTCGTGCCCTTTCTGTGTGTCGTGCCCTTTCTGTGTGTTGTAGACGTCTACTTTGTGGCTTTCCTTTTTTTCTCTTTTAATGCTGTCCTTTAAATGAACAGAAGTTCTAAACTTTATTGTAGACAAACATATCAGTCTTTTACTTTGTGGTTAATGTTTTGTGCACCCCTTTTGAGAATTATTTTTCCTACTGAAAAGTCATGAAGATAGTTATCTGTATCACCTTTTAAAGGTTTTATAGTATAGTTTTTGCCTTTCACATTTAGGTCTGTAATCCACCTGGAATTGATTTTTCTTTTGGTGTGTGATGTGAACTAGAGCTCAAATTTTATTTTTTCCTATATACCATTGCTCTAGCACCGTTTATGTTGGTTTTTTTTTTTTTTTTTT